CAACAACTAAACTTGCCCTTCTCCCCACTACTGGCTTTTGCTTGGTGTGCACAGAACAAATGACTGCAGAATAACAGGACAAGTAGGAATTATTTAACAGTAATATTGCAATGGGATAGCCTTCAAAATGCATCTTTGTTGATGTGACCATTGGCTGTGTATGATAGAATTAGCCCTTCTACCCAAAATAGAAGAAATCTAAAACTGGTTGTTTTGATTTTGGCTTAATACTAATCTACAACAGTGTAGATTTGCTTGAAAGGATAAACTTCAGACAGCAGAAGCTTTCAAATTTTTATGAATGTGTGACCTTTTTGCTGTTCAGTGAGCTTACTTTGTCCAGTCTTGTGTGCTTTAGAGGGATTTAAGATGAAACTTGATATTCACACATTCAGTTTATCAAGAACTTTTGGTTTATCCCTATATTTATAAAATTGTCTTGTGTGCATACTAACACTTGTAGTCAAAATGTACCAGTGCAATCTTATCTAAGTTAAGAATAGGAAATCATTGTTTCCTGTTGTAGCCACTTTTGTAAGGAACTCTGCTGTAACTTCTAACCAGAAGCATTGAGACAATATTTGCATTAAAGATCAATATTTGTGCTCTGGACATTTGTGAAGGAAGTGGGAAGCCTTGCAAATGGTGACATTTGCATTAAAGGTGAAAGCACCGCGTGGTGTCTAGCTGATGCTTCCATTCCAGGAAAAGTAATGGAAGATTTTATTCTTGCAGACATCATGCCAGTCCCTTGATTTGGTATTCTTCTGTTGCATATGTTGTTGGGGTTATGTTTGAGGACTTAGTTTGTTGGTACATACATGTTGCAGTAACATTATTAATTCCAGAATTCGTGCAGCCAAGAAATAGAGCATGAAAACAGACCCTTTGGTCCAACTCATTCATGCCAACCAGATATCTTAAATTAATCTAGTCATATTTGGCCCATATCCCTCTAAACCCTTCCTGTTCATGCACCCATCCATTTATCTTTTAAATGTTGTAATAGTACCCACCTCCATCAGCTCCTCTGACAGCTCATTCCATACTTGCACCACCCTTTGTGTGAAAAACGTTGCCCCTTAGGTCCCTTTTTTTTTTTTAAAAAAAAACCTTTCATCTCTCCCCTTTAAATCTATGAGCTCTAGCTTTGACCTCCCTTACACTGGGGAAAAGACATGGGGTGAATAGCCAGTCCATGCCCCTTGTGATTTTATTAACCTATATTACCCCTCAGCCTTCGCTCCAGGGAAAATAAACGCAGCCTATTCGGCCTCGCTATAGCTCAAAGCCTCCAACCCTAGCAACAGCCTTGTAAACCTTTTCTGAACCCTTTCAAGTTTCACAACATCCTTCCTATGGCAGGAATTGAATGTAGTATTCCAAAAGTGGCCGAATCAATGTCCTGTATAGCCACAGCATGACCTCCCAACTCCTATGCTCAGTGCACTAACCAATAAAGACAAGCATACCAAATGCTGCCTTCACTATCCTATCTACCTGCAACTTCGCTTTCAAGGAACTGTAAATCTGTACCCCAATGTTTTTGTTTGTCAACACTCCCCAAAACCTTCGCTTTAAATGTATAAGTCCTGCCCTGATTTGCCTTACCAAAATGCAGCACCTCACATTTTATCTAAATTTAACTCCCGTTTGCTGCTCCTTGACCAATTTGCCCATCTGAGCAATGATCCATTGTACTCTGAGGTAACCTCCTTTGCTGTCCACTACACCACCAATTTTGGTGTCATCTGCAAACTTATTAACTGTACCTCCTATATTCTTCTCCAAATCATTTATATAAAAATGACAAAAACCAGTGGACACAGCATCAATCTTTGCGGCAGGCCACCAGTCCAAAAATCAACCCTCCACGATCCCCCTCTGTTGTGTACCTTTTGAGACAAGGATGTGGAGTTTGTCGTATATAGCAAACCTGGTGAAGGTGGGTATCCTCTGACCGTGCAGGTACACATAGAGACATCTTATGAGTTTGGGTATAAGTTAGTTTAATTAAGAGCATACAGGCCATGGCAAGTGTTGTTACAGTGGCATTTAGTGCAGCCCTCTCTCATCTGAAGTATTTAGAAAATCAGACAGGAAATGCATAAATGATATTTGATCTCAGCAAAAGAAAGCAATGAAGAAAGCCAGCTTCCTTAGCAAAGAAAAGAGCAGAAAATAAAGATTTCCCAATAAACTCACCATTTAAAAGGCCTACTTCAGGAGATCAGACTTCAAAACATTTGACAGTCCAAATAAACCATGTGAGCAGCACGGTTGCAGGCAATCTGTTGTCGACAGTATTCTGGCAGAGGGGCTTTAGTGGCTCAGTGGTAGTGCCCCTTCCCCTGAACTGAAGAGACCAAAGTTCAAATCCCACCTGCCCCAGACGTGTAATAACATCTCTGAACAGGAGGATTTAGGAAAATAGGTTAAATTTTTCAAAATAATTCTGACCAAGGACCTCAAAAGATATTAATTCAAAAGAGGCTTTTGTATACGAAACTCAGTTTTGTAGCCTTTATTTGTGCATTGGTGAGAAAATTGCACTTAGTCAGGCTGAATCTAAATAACTAACTTGCAGAGGCTTTAAATATTTGAAGTCTTTTCTCATTCCTAACTAGTGGATCTTCATTTTTGACACATGTTTTGAATGATTTTGTATGAAATTACTGCTCTCACTGACTTATCACATTTAACAATTGTAATTCAATTACGACTCCCATCCCCACAATCAGTCCAGTGATGGTGAGTTGTTGTGTCTTTCCTGTCCTGTTCTTGCTTTTGTTCCCTGCCAACTCCCCACCTTCCCTCTCGGACAGACACAAGCTGTTTTAAATAGAGTCTGCGTTAAAGGTTTGATCGGTTTCCTTGCTAGATTGGATATTTGGCAAAGTGTAAGCATAATGTCTGAAATCTCCAGACATTTATAGACAGTTTTGAATCAAAGAATTAAGTTGTTCCTTTCCCTTCTTCACACTCACTTGAAAGGAAAACAAATGATTCCCACAGAGTGAAGCGGACTTCTTTGGTGTTAAGGCTGGAATTTCTTTCCTCTTTGGCCTGTTTTTAATTTGCATGTTAAGATGTTTGGATAGCTGGTTTGTGCCTTGGACTGATTCAGTCTCTTAACTGCCAAAGGACCAGTGATTTGAATGTAATGGTGAAAACACAAGTGATGTACATAGTTAAGCCTGTAGGTTTTTAAAAAATTGTGGGATAGTGTGGCATGTAATTGTGCTTTTACGAGTTTTGTGTAGCTTGAATTGCAATTTATAATACCTCTTGCATTAATTTGCTAAGGCAGAATAAATTGCTACTATTTGTATTCTGCAGTGTTTGAAGCTAAATTTGTATGAAACATTTTAGCCTTCAATTGCAGACTGAAATTAAAGCCTACTTCTGTTTTAATGACTCTGCTGTTCTTCAGTAATGGGTGTTACTGGATTATTTTTGTTCATTTAAGTATCCAAGAATCCTCTCCAATAAGACAGTGCTCAAAGGTGAATTCTTAACTGCATTTGACTGAAAAGTCAATGTCACTGAAAAGTCCACAAGTTGGCCAGAAAATGGGCTTTGTTACATATTCCATCAAATATTACCTCCTGTTTTTGATTGGCACATCTTGGCAAGGGGAATGGATGTATCTGTCACTGGCTGGTTAATTGTTGCTGATTTTTCTCCCCCCTGACAGCAGGTCTTTGACTCTTAAGTGGCTCAATGCAAAGTGAATTAGCAGACAATAGTCACGTTTCTCATTTGGAATGCCCTGATGTTGATGAATGGAACTCATAAGTCATATTGACTGGCACTAAACAACAGAATGATGAAAGCTGCTTTTTATACAGCTAGTGCAGATAGAAGTATCCAACATTGGTGATGTACCATCAGAAATGTATATATCAAACCATTTGGGAGTCTTAAAGCAACAACTGTTCTTAAAGAAATCTTTTG